AGGTCTTTTGGGGTTCAGGGGTCACTCCTTAAGCCTTTCTATAACTCGGTGGTGGCCTCGGCCATCCATTATGGCATTGTCTGCTGGTCAGGCAGCATCTCGGCCCGGGACAGGAAGAGATTGGAGCGACTAGTCAGGAAGGCTAGTTCTGTCCTGGGCTGCTCCCTCGACACTCTGGAGGAGGTGGGCAACAGCAGGATGCTAGCTAAGCTAAAAGCTATGTTGGACAGTCCCTCCCACCCCCTCCAGCCCGCCCTGACAGCACTCGGTAGCTCCTTCAGTCAGAGACTGTTACACCCGCGTTGCAAGACGGAGAGATACCGCCGCTCGTTCCTACCGACTGCTGTCAGGCTGCTGAATAAAAAATGAATAAATAAATATATCATAAAATTATTTAAATGATATGACAACAAATGTGAATAGTACTGTGACTATTGTATCTACATTGCACTTAATTGAACTTATTGACCTTATCCATATTTATATTTATGTTGCACTTAATTGAACTGTGTTTTCTTTTCTCTTCTTTCTACCCACAATCTTGCTGCCGAAGGCTGTAAATTTCCCCAGTGTGGGACAAATAAAGGATATCTTATCTTATCTTACATTTCTAATGCAGGGAGAGAGACCGCACAGTTGAGTCCTCGATCACACACTCTTAACTTGTCCAATTTCTCACAGTTGCTCACAGTATAGCTCAATGGTCGTCTCACGTGAAGGTTTTTGTTGGCCAATGATTCAATGAAAGACTGGCTTGGTATATGTTGGTTTTAACAAGGTAAATTTGGAAAGTGACCCAAGGGAATAGTTCTTGACTGTTTGGGATTGTAATCGCTGGAGGATATGTTCATAATTTTAAATGACATTTACAAAGAAACGTGTCAGCAGGCTAAAACCACAAACACTACTTGTAGGTAAATACTGTACTTAACAATGCCCCTTCACAAATGACTCATAGCTTATTATTTAAACGCCATTTTGCCAAAATCATCTGCTACGTTTGTCACTTGGTGCACAAGTGGTTAGCGTGTCTGTCTGCCTCACATTTCTTGTGCTTTGGATTTTAATGGCGGGTGCCCAGGCTTCCTCCGGCATTGCTTAGCCATGCATATTAAACAACCGTAGGAGAGAAAAGACCAGACAAATATGTGAAACGATATATTATATTGATTTTTGTTCGTTTGTTTGATTTTTATTTTGTAACAGATTTGGTATGGATTAATCCAAAAGTTATAAAAAGTATTCATGTTACATTACTTTACTATTATGGTACTTTCATTCCATTATTAAATACATTTTATAACATTATAGAATACATTTTTCAAGTAACCCCCGCAACCCTGCCTATACATTGGGGTAGACATCAGAGTTAATGCTCTTATAAATTCTGGTGCATGCGAGTAAAATAAAGTCTTTGATTGTTTGTAAACAGACTTGAACAGATGCAGTCCTAGCCATTCACTTGCTGCTGTAGTTGAGACTAGTCCCAAGTCCTACCTGCAACCTTTAGTTTCGACCACCAGGGTGAATATCACTATTTTGTTTGTTTTTGTAAATCTCCAAATAATTACAAAATAAAAATAAAAATAGAACATCAGGTCCATAAAAAGTGCTTAGGCGAACATATCAAAAACAGTATGAACACTTTTCTGAGCAATACAAGTAAGTACTCAACATTGAACTTGCTTCGGATAATAAAAAATAAATAAGAGACCCTTAAATCACAGTGCTGTAAGTTAGCACTTCAGAAATAACACTGTTCATCATGACAAAATAAAGTGCTGAAATAAACATCAACCACTTCTGTTAGGCTACTGAGGACACAGAAACTATGCTGACTTCATGCCTCGTACACAGGGTGTTCTCCTCTAGTTTAGTTTGGTGAAGAGCTTTGGTGCTAACGTTAGCTGTGGATGCACTCGTGACTGGGTGCTTTGCATTAATGTAAGAGGCTAAACTTGAGCTGCTTCGGAGGTCAGCAAACTCCTTACAAATTAGGCACAACACTCTACTTTTATCAATAGTGCCGTCAGGGCGTTTTTAAAAAGTAAATTTTCCATTCATTGTGCCCTCTCACATGCTTCTCTATTTTCACCTTTCCTCTCCTCACCGCTGCTTACTTAGCCCGCCCAACTCCAACGGGAGCCAATCAGCTTATGCTAAACAACAAGCCCAAACATAATGACAGCCAATCAATGTCAGCTTCAGGTTGTGACTGACAGTTGTTTCCCCACCCTCAACTACTCAAACACAGGAAGCCAACACATAAAAAGGGAGATTAGAAAAAGGCAACCCACCTACAGAAACAATAAAGTTAGAGATTAAAATTTAGATTAACACAATTAAAAAACATAACACACTAAATATGACTGTAATTAATTATTCGCAATTAATGGGATAAATTGACACCTCTAGTTCCTAGCACCTCAATACTTGACATTTTGAAATCACCCCTGATGCTGTTGTCATGCCACCATTGTGTCTCAATTCTCTTAATGCTAAAACAAGGTGTGAGGACCAAGCATTGAGGAGGTTCCACGAGCCTGATAAAATTGCCGGATCATTGATGTGCCCCATGTGAAAAGCTTATCGCTCTGCAACAGTGACAAATGAAAATGAACGTTCACCAGCTGGATCGTAAATGGAACAGAACTTAAGATTGCATCATTATTTATTTTTTTGGGTGGGTGTCATTCCTTGATTATTTTAATTTTAATATACAGTATGCATTTTGCCGAGTGTCTGTCCTATTTTGGGCAGTATTTAATCATAATAAACAACTTTAACTTTTGAGGTTTTTTTTTTATTTTTTTATCAGAAACAGATATATTGGCCACGTGTGAAAAACACACAAGGAATTGACTTTCCCAGTTACAACCTGTCCAGCGTAACATAAACAAAACAATAACCAAAAGGGGGAGACAGAACGGGAAGCTTGGTAGTTCGCTGTTCCAACAATTTTGTACTATACTGGGCATTTTTAGCTTATGAAAAACGCGGAAAACAATTTCATCCTGTATTGAATGTATTTAGGCAAAAAAGTATGTTGAGGGAGTGAC